TCATAATTCAATCTCGATCGGCCTTTTCCTTCCTTCTCCGCTCTCCCTCTTCCTCCGCTTCGTCCTCTCGCTCGGCCGTGTACCATCCCTCAAGGGCACATTCGATACTCGATATATGTATACAGGAGAAAACCCTATTATGAGACGGGCACCCAATATGAGATAGCGGGCTTTTCGCTAAATTAATATGCGTCATCTGTAGATTCCGCCATAAATTTGCTGCCTCTGGAGTGAAATCCGCCGGTGGAAAATTCACGATTTCGTTGCAGATCGCGCGTGTAATCGTTGCGAAAAAAAAAAGATTCGTGAAATTGGGCATTGAAAACCCGCTATCTCATATTAGGAGTCAGCGTGTTCATTGGCTGGGCCAGCAAAGTGTCGGATACGCAGATGGGATCGACGCGAAACGAAACAAACGGCGGAGTGGACCTACTCAGTCGCGCTACGTTCCTACTTAAGCTGGAAAGAAAAAAAAAACTTTAGCAGTAGGACTTAAGAATTTCAGCTAATCGGAATTCTCAGCATTGCTTAAGTTTCAAAATGCTGCTTGCGCTCTCGACTCTCATTTCCTTCACGTCTTTTACCGCTCAAGCTTTTCTTTTTCTGCGTCGGGTCTTCGCGCACATCCGAGCTACCGCCGTATAATATACGTATACGCGATATCGCGAACCCCGTCGACTCCTCGAGGCCCCTCGCGCACACATTGTCTTCCTCGATTACGGATTTCTTCGCGGGATTATCGCGCCCCGCTCTCGGCCTCGATATCGCGCGTGTCTCGTAACTTCCAGCCCGGCGCGTTAGCGGACGCCGGAATCGGTCGGAAACGATCGCTTTCAGGGCTCTCTCGCTCGCGCGGAAGCGCGGATAAAAGGTATGAAAAATGAGATCTTTCGGAAGCCATTTTGACGCTTGTCATCGAATTTTGTAACATTTACAAAACGTTGAGCGGGAGATAACGCGCTTATTTCTCGCGGACTCAACGGAACGTGTGTCCCGCCATTGTTTCGCCGCGATTTCACATTTAATTCAGAATATTTGATTACGGTCCCTCGGCGATGAGCGTACGCCCGATAATGTTAACACGGTTAAATTATTGTCGAAAAAGTAATCCACCGCGTATCACTCGCTCGCGAATAAAACGAGTCGAGAATAGCGACGCTGGGAGTCTCTCTTTCCCTCTCTTTCGCGCGCGGAGAGGGCGAGGAAGGGAGTCACGCGCGCGGATGCGGAATTTATTTCATATGGGATTCGGTCGTTTGCCAAGCGTCTTACGTCGTTACGTCGTTGACGTGACGAGACGGCGGTTCACGTTTTTCCGCGCGGCTGTGTGCGTGAAACCCGCGCGTCGAGACGTCTCGGGCTCGAGCGAGAGAGGGAGAGAGGCTCGATGATATTCGAGAGCGGGAAATCTGAAGATCACATAGCGGACGTAAATCGTTACCGTACGAACGCTAACACCTAATCTACAATCTCTCTGCGTCGGTTTTATGTAAGCATATCAAAACACTTATCTAACAGGAAGAAGAAGACAATGTAGCATAAAGTTATAAATATATAAAAGAGCAAACTTTTATGTGAGTTACTTTAAAATGTCGCTTATTATAGCGGCTCATAAAATT